ACACCACCATGCACGCACACAAATACACATGGATTCTGCACCACACAAACACACATATGAAAAAACATGTGATGTTATAGAGAGAATGATCAATTAGTGGGATCCATTACTATGAGATGCTAAGACAAAACAAGTTGAAGAAAAATACTTTAAACGATGCTTCTAAGGGGCTGAGGAGATAGTGAATAGCATTTGCTACTCTTATAGAGTCTGGTTCCCAACACACTTATCAGGGAATCTGATGTGCTCTCTGGCCTCCACAGGCACCTACACTCAATGCCCATACCCTACCCTTCACACTCACATGTTCACACCCTACTCTTCACACTCACATGCTCATACCCTACCCTTCACACTCACATGTTCACACCCTACTCTTCACACTCACATGTTCACACCCTACTCTTCACACTCACATGCTCATACCCTACCCTTCACACTCACATGTTCACACACTACCCTTCACACTCACATGTTCACACCCTACTCTTCACACTCACATGCCCATACCCTACCCTTCACACTCACATGTTCACACACTACTCTTCACATTCACATGCCCATACCCTACCTTTTACATGCTCATATCCTACCCTTCACACTCAATGCTCCTACCCTACCCTTCACACTCACATGCACATAGTTTTAAAATAAATATTTTTTTTTAGATTCCACTTAAAAAAATAAAACAACCTTCTAAGAAACCAAGAGAGGCAAAACAAGTAATTTCTTACTGTGAAACAAAGGGTGAAGGCTGGTCTTTGCACATGCCCATGAAAGAAGGTGTTGAAAATGAACTTAAAACTTTAGGCTCCTGCCCAAACAATATCACAATGCTTGTGAGATAAATGCAGCAGAGCCTCCACATGACTGCTGTTTGACACTCAGCCTGATTTATGGACTCTGCTCATCAAAGTTGGGAATGCAGTGAGTTTAACAAGACAAGGGCAAACTTCCCGATGAACTGTGCCTGTATATTAAACTCATCACCAGAAATAAATACTTGAAAAAAGATGAAAATAAACATTGTCATTAACTTGGCAATCTCATTATAGGAGGCAACACAGATATCCAGGAATTTTGAGTAATTAAATCATTGTGGCCTTAATTAGCTTAGGAAATACTAATTGGATACATTTTAATAAACTTTAGATCACCATCTCCTTCTTATATCCTAACCAGGAAGAACTGGTGTTACTTCTTCTGCCTATGAGAATCTAGGCCAGTTGGATCTGTCAGACTTTTAGCGAATCATGTTTATGTGGACAGAGCGCTGTTTTGAGAATGCATTCATTGTGTTATCTTGTTTGATGTTGGCAAAAACGTGACAGTTACTGTTATATTCATTCTGTCAAAAATGAAATGAAGCACAGATGATGTTGTCTTCTAGACACTGGCTGGTGTTTCAATGTCTCTTGAACATAAAGACACCAGAAAGGCCCCCAATCCAGGCATGCTCAGAAGCTAACTCGACTTCTTTCACTACTGGCCAAGGGTCTTCCTTCCATACCATCATCAGGCGACGGTGAGACAAACTATGGGCACAAAGTAATTTAACATGACATTAGGTCAAGTCTAGTATTTGACTTCAGATTCCATTGTGAGGTCAAGAGCGTGGAAGAATTGCCATGCTATTCCACATACTCTTGTTATTTTTTGCTGAAAATGTGTTCTAGAAGAGCTGGTTCTCTTTGACACCACCTTTTTTAAAGTTCAAGTGTATCTTAGTTTATGTAATTCTTCAGGTCTTTTCTTCGAAGCACATGTTTTCAGGAAAAAGATGACGGCATATCACTTAGCTTTGCAATTCTTTATTCTAACAGTCTAGCAGTTTCTTTATAAAGAGCTTGGCTGATAAATAGAATTGATTAAAACATTGCTACTCAGAGGAAGATCTGTGGTAATGTAGATTACCCAAGAATTTAAGAGAGTCATGTTACTCTGTCCTGGGAGAGTCATAAATTGCATTTTAATATGGTCATATTAACCCCTAGTTAATGGGTTGGTGAAGATGAATTCTGAGAAGTACTGATTTAAAATGAGTACTTGTTAAGGGAACTCATAATGGTGTCTGAGGTTGAGGAAGCAAGGGGGTTCAGTGTGTGTTCTCTAGCTGTAGGGAGGCCTGCTGTTCAAGGGTTTTGGCACTAGAGGGAGATATTGGGTTACACAGATAAGTGGGTAAGCCCCCTCTAGGGAAAAGAAATGCCATCTTGAAGATGGACTACATATGTTTGGTCATCCAAGTTAAATGTATTCCACTTATCAATAATGACTAACAGGTATTTATCACAAGCTATATGCAGACATTGTACTAGACTTCTTAAATGAATTGACTTTTTTATCTTTTGGTAACTATTTATTATGACTCTTCCTAAATGAGCATTTAGAAAGCCAGGAAAGATGTGTATGATCACACATCCAAAAGGGACAAGAAATAATGGAACATGGGTCAGATTGAATGTGAGCCTGGACTGTGACCTTTCAATATGACTGTATTTCTGTCCATACCCCTCACGGGCAGACATATTAAAATAATCAACCATGACTCTGTGAAGTGATGGGAAAATGAAGAACCGAGTTTGAATTATGGGCATTTTTAATATTCTTTACTTGGGAGGCAGGTGACCAGAGACGTGTGCCCAGGCTCTAGAGCAGCAGGTTCTCATCCTGTGGGTCATGACTTATGTCTCCAAAAATGTTTACATTATGATTCATAACAGTAGCAAAATTACAGTTATGAAGTAACAATGAAAACAATCTTATGGTTGGGGTCGCTATGACACGAGGAACTGTATAAAGGGTTGTAGCATTAAGAAGGTTGAGAACCACTGCTCTAGAGCTATGCTGTCTAATTCAGAAACCACTAGTCACGCGTGGTTATTAGACACTGAGGATGAGGCTACTCTGACTCTAAATGACTCTTTAAGAGACTTAATTTTTAATAGTTTAACCATAAAAGAAACGATTCCATAATCAATTGGAAAACTTTTGGGCATGATTGGAATAATGTGGGTATGTAAATCTATTTTTTTCAATGAAAAACTTCCCAATTAGATAGCAGTCAAATATTACTGATGAAATTTTTGTGTCCAAATTGAGATGGGCTGTAAATGTAGAATGTGCAATTGTTTTCAAGAACTTATTTACTATACAAATGTAAGTTGTTGTATTAATAGTTTTTATATTGAGTGTATGCTGAAATACTAGATGTGTAGGGAATTATAAAAAATGAACCATTAAATTTGTTTCATATATTTCTTTTTACTTTTGAAATATATTTAATAGAGGGTTAACTACACACACACACACGTACACACATATACGTCACACACACAAATGCATATATGTACACATTTAAGCCTACTAGTAGTCATGTGTACATCTCAAATGCTATTTCCAAGGAACAATGCTTCTCTAGAGCCAGATTGCCTGTGATCAAATCCTAATTCTACAATCAATATCTGGAGGAAGTCTGCATCCCCTTCAAAGTGTGCTTTCTTGACACCTTTTGACTCTCCAGACATATTTGCCATTCTAAATACCATTACATCTTGGAGTCTGAACAGAATTAGAAAATCTTTCTGAAAATTCAGTACACACTGGCAAATTCACGTGCTGGCAAAGATATGAAAGCATAGGAACTGCTATTTACTTAAATAATATTG